TAGAAATTTCCTGCTACCAGATCGTGTTCCGATATTAATCCATCTTCTACGATCACAGATATCAGCGTTACAATTGCTACAACAGAATTTGCTGAATTGCTAGGACAAACCGATCTACTCGAAAGGTCCGATCGGTTTGCAAGAGGAAGGTTGAAATTCGCGACATTCCCATCAGCTGGTTAATCGAATTTACGACTAGATTTGAAATAAAAAATCAATGTTAGAATGGGAACTTTAAGCTGTTCGAATTTCATCGACGGAATTTCATTTCACTTTGTCAATTTAGTCGTTTTAATCTCACCTTCGCACCATATCGAGCAATTCTTCCTCTTTGCCTCTGTGATGGAAAAACAAAGTAAAAACAGGTGAATTAAACCGACGTTTCGCGCTCGATTAATTCAACGTTCAAAGTTAATTCGTCGTTCGAACGTTCGCGCTTTACCCGTCACGTTGCACTTCAGTTTCTTCGAAGAAACGTAATATTACGTCGGTGTACGGCGAGTTGCAAAGCTTTTGGTAGCAACTGTGCCGTAGCTAATAACCGGAAATCGAGGAGAGAAACGCGTCGCGACAAAGAACGATGACGTGACGCGAGCGAAACCTATTAATCCTTCGAACTCGCACGATCGAAGGATAATTGCTCGCGAGTTGGAATCGAGACGAGCCAACAGGCAGAGCGTGCGCCGACGTGAAAATCCGCTGCTCCTTCTCTTTTCCGTTCTTCCTTTTTCAACCCCTTTGCGCGCTTACAGTGGCGAACAAAACGAGCTTTAAAGTTGATACACGCGATTGGATCGATCGTATCGAATATCGTTGTTTAATGGACCAGATTGGGACGAAGAATTTTTATTTACAGTCCAATGTTGACTCGTGTCAGGATCGAATCGGAAGATCGAGTCGTTTGGTAGGTAGAGTGGAAAAAGTGGAGTAACGAGGATTGATAATTTAACAATTTGGAAGATTATCAAGAATCACGGTGAATTTCTGCTGAGTTTTACGCCACTAGTGACAATGGAAACTCGAACGATCGGGAGAAAAACCTGCAGATTTCCCGTGAGATTTCTTAAACCTACCTGCTGTTCCTCTTCCAAGGTCACGCCTTTCACATCGTCTACGTGTGTCTGACAATGTATTTCCTTCGATAACCTAGACAATGATAGATAGATCGAGCGTAATTCTTGGCGTTTGAAGCAAAAATTGTTGTTTTCGTCGTAGACCGACGATTCGGATCGACTCTATTGGGTTGGAAACTAAGTGATTGCGGATTTTGTCATTGGGTAGTATCGACGAAATCCGCAACTACTTAGTTGCCAACAAAGTAGCAACGAAATATAACGATATATTGGTATTTCGATTAGCGTGAAATTATCATGCGCTTGGTATCTCTGCAACGACGTTTTTTATACCTAATAGTTTCTAGTTGTGAGCTAATTACCTCGTAGATTGCTTTATCTTCCGTGTAGAGATATCGCGTTTGAAGGAAATAACTGAATGCGTTGTTGAGTTCCGATAGAAGATAGAGGAAAACCAGCTATGGCAAAATCTTAACATGGCATATCTGAGCGTAAAAGGAATCTACAGCTTGTTCAGCAATGATTACACGCCAAGAGAATCAGCTTACTCCTGACATCGCGTCATGCTACGGAGAATATAACGTGTTCCTTAGATATACCGTAATTCTTCAGTAACGTTCAACCTGCCACAAATAGCTTCTATACCTACGTATTAGCTGTTTCCCAATTTTGCGTTTACAAAACGATCGCTCACAAAACGGTCGCTCATCGAAGTATGTTCGCGAAGTATGTTAGGGAACATTTTTTGTTATCAGGTGATTATCGCGTGCTATACGCAACTTTTCGAAATTTTGTCATCGGCGAAAATTTAGACGCGATCGTCGTTATCGCAATGGTAAGATTTGGAATCAACACGAAAATTTATATGGAAGTTGCAAAACATGTTTACTGCGAAAATATACGCTTCGAGCAAAATTAATACACAGCATGAATAGTGGGCTTAAACGTACAATTACAGCTAAAAATAGTCTCTCTAAATAAGCACGTTATCGCATATTATTGCCATTATATGGATTTTTTGAATTGAACTATATTTAACATGAACCAAAAGTCTCCTGTTTGTTCATGGACTTTGATCATCATAAAACTCTGTAGCTCTTGAGCTTTCAGAAAATATACATTTTTGTATATTGTGTTATTGCTACTGTGTGTTTCAATCTTTTAATTTCATCATATTTAACGCGAAATAAAGAACTTGTATATTAACTCACATAAGTAAATCATAATAAAATTTCATAGCGTCTGAGCTTTCCAAAAATGTATGCTGTTATACCATGTTGCATGTTATCATACATTATTGCTACTATGTGTTTGAATCTCTTGGTTAAATCATATTTAGCATTAAATATAGATCTTCTACTTGCTCACATACGTAAGCATAATAAAATTCCATGAGATTCGAACGTTTGAAAAAATGTATGCTATCATACCGTGTTGCATGTCATTATACATTATTGCTACTATGTGTTTGAATCTCTTAGTTAAACCATATTTAGTATTAAATGTAGATCTTCTACTTGCTCACATACGTAAGCATAATAAAATTCCATGAGATTTGAAAAACGTTTGAAAAAATGTATGCTATCATACCGTGTTGCATGTTATCATATATCACTGGTATCGTGTCTGAATGTTTTAGCCGAGACATATTTAACGCGAAAGAAAAATCTTCCATCTACCCACGCAAATGTAGATCACAATGAAATTCCATAGCATTTGAAAATTTATTATTATTTTTAATAATAAAATTTATTATTAATACCTACACGTATAAGACTAATCTTTATTCGCGAGATTTTATTCTACGATATTGTGTATCTCCCCGTTGATTTCATAAGAGAACCAGATAATAGTAATCGATACCTCTTTTTTTGTCAGATTTCTTTTTTTCTTCAATGATATATTGAGAGAAGATATTTCTCTTGTCTGGAAGATGTCTCTTTCCACGCAGTGAAATTTAATTCGTCGATCTCGAAGCTGAATCAAGGTTCACTAGGTCGTGCACCGTTTTAAGATACAGCGGTTGTAATTCTTCGTGTTTTTTTCGTGTCGCTGCAATAAAGCGAGAAACGCTCGGATTTCCATGGATGCGATGCACCCGAGCTACTGAACCGTGGTAAATCCGGTTGGCGCATTTGGAATGTCCAATGGAAACACGGAATACGGTGGAAAAATTACTTTCGGTTCGAAGCACGCTCCTTAGGAAAATCTTTCCACGGAAAATGGCGACTGTAATCGACCTGACCATCCGATTCTCCGGTTATTTTCCTGTATTCTCTTCCTGTCGATATTTTACGATTTCATCGGTATTTCCGATTTCCTGCAAACTTGGATATATCGAATGGCGTTATTTGAATAAGCAAAATGCCAGAAAAAAGTGTCGCAAACTATTATAAGTACTTTTGATTCTACTTTAAAACTACCTAAACCTAACCTCAACCTAGTACAAAGTATCATATTTCGCCATTTTTGTTTCGCCACTCGTTCGCCAGAGGCGAAACCTAATCCTAATCCGAACAGCGTGTAAAATTCTTTAAACGTTGTTCGTCGTATGCCTCGTAATCTTTTTTTGTTGTCACTCTATCGATACAGGTTAATTTAAATTGCTCTTCTAACTGTTTACTTCTGTCGCTTAATTTGCTTAATTTGCACTTAATTTTTTATTTGTAGAAAATAAAAATATATCTATGTAGTTTGTTTTAGGTTAGTTTTAGTTTCGATATGGCGTTAAGAGTACGTAGAATTGTTTGCGACGCTCCACTTTTTAAACGATATTTTATCTTTTTAGATAACTATTTCCGATATATTCCAAGTTTAAAGAAAAAACCAGAGTGAAATTGTAAAATATTGTCCACGTTCTTCTTTTACAGAAATTTTAGACTTTAATAGATTCTATTCCTGTTTTATAGATCTTATTTTATAGATTTTTACGTAAATACCTTGTGTAAATATATATAAATAAATTTCAGCCGCCGTTTAGTGTCACTTGACTGACGCGAGTAAGAACGATCGTGTAATAATACGTGTTAGGCTATGTGCGTAGCAGCGACAATTTGTTGTGCTCGCTTCTATCAATCAAAAGTTCAATTTATTCTTGTTCTAACAAGAAAACTGTCGTCGTGCAGCCGCGTCGTCAAACAGGCGTACGTTCGTATAAAGTAATACGAGCAAATGCCATTTTCGTAAGCGACAAATTGTCGCCGGTGTGCACGAAGCCTTATTGTCGACTTTAGTCCACGCTCGTACGCAAGAGATTAACGCTAGAACTACCACACAAAGGAATAATGTAATGAATTTTATTCTTTTCTTTTTTTGTTATTTATTCAAAATTAAAACAATTTTGTATCGTGGCTACTTATTCCAATACCAGTCAAAATAACTGGTTCTTATCAAAGCGTAAAAGGTTTAGCGAACTCGAATTAATCAGTTTCCTCGTTTTGTGTAACTTTCCACACGTTTTTAGAATTTTTACCGCCTATCGTTCGATACGATGGTGTCGATTATCAGGAAAATTCCAGATCGATCACGATGCTGACATTAGAACTACCACGCCAGTCGAAACGACTGGTTTTACAACTTTTTATAAACGTGCCAACTCTCGTTCAGGGATCATGTTCCCAGATGAGTTAATAATATCAAAAATATACTACGTGACATGAAATTCCTTTTGTAAGAAAGCTACGATGAAAAAAATATTACGTATTTTTTATAGACGAATAATTTTGACTGATTTTATACTGGTCGATAGTTCTAGCGTTAAAATGTACTTCATTTGAAATATCCTTTGACTTAGACATCTTTACAATCTTGGTGTCTTTCAACGTGACTATCCATTTTTCAGCTTTATCTCGCTTTTCAGAGCATTTAACAAGGAAAGGGTTCTTAAACGCCAGATTTCCTCATGTGCTTCTATTGTTCTCGTTTCAGAGAAGTGGCGTTGCGTGAATTAGCAAGAAGGGGGTGCAAGGTTGAGCGGCGGTACTCGACTCGAATATTCTTGTAGTGGCTCATCGATTGCGTTTCCCTGGATTTTCTGACGGTGAGTCCTCCAGCGATTTTTTTCCACCCACTTGTCCCACCCCAAAATTAGCAACGTGTATTCCACTCTTGCTCTGTCGTATACAAACATAATCTTTACATAAGATCTTGACTAAATATGAAATATTAGTATATTATATTGTATATATACAGTGTGGTGAATAATTTTATAATTATTCAACCCTGTTTTTAGATCTTTCACGATACTAAAGTAAATGTTGAGAAAATCGTTTCGTATAATTTTATATTATAATCTAGAAAAAGAAGGAAACCGAAGATACGATAGACACAAATTTCTTTCTCTCAAAGTCTGGACAAAATTAAATTATTTTTTAAATTATGCACCTCGTTGTTTGTGAAAAACTATAAATCCAGTGTTAATATCGTTACGTCTTTATCCAATATTCAGTGAAATTTGTCTCCATTTCTAATTACCTCTATCAATCTGTTGGCCACGCTATCCACTGAACTTGTTTAAAGTTTCGTTTCGAATATCCGCTCACGTGGATTTTATTCTTTCTCCAAGTTCGACGATATGTTTTACAGGTGGCCTGATCGTAAACTTTCCTTGTTAGAATTCACCCACAGTTCGGCATCCGATACCGGCCACGGTAATAATTCTATTCCGAAATCTTTACTGTGGCAATTGTCTCGTTGAAGAATCGTCCCTTCACCTCAATTCCAGTTATTAAACGTAATATCTCCTAATGTTCTATAGCATTTGCAAAAAGAAAAAAAGGTTTCGCTTAAAACATCCAGGCATGATCAATGGTACGTTGGAAATATCGAGGAAACAACGCGGAAAGTATGTTCGAAACTATAATTATTCGCAACGCTGTGTATCGTACAAATTTTTTGAACGAACGTTAATTGGTTAGTTATTAGGAAACTCGTAATACAGCAGAACTTGGTTCATGTGAAACTGACGGCAGACAAGTTAGTTCGTATAATAGGAGTCCATCTATTTCTCCCTATGACCTATTTCCACCTGTGATTTTTTGCTCGGTTAATAGGAGTTCGTGTTCGTACGAGACATAAGAGGATTCCACGAAACATTTCCTCCCAAATAACGTTTAATAACATTGCAAACTTTTAGCAACTGCGAATTGTGTCATACGACGCGTGGTCAGCTTTTTGTGATAAACGTTCGTACGCATCTGCGACTGTTTTTACAGGGCGGATGTGGTAAAAAGTGTAAAAAAGTCGTGAAACGATTACTTTGCAACAGAGTACGAAACTCGTGTTAAATCAAAGCAAACAATAGAAGAAGCAATTCAACCAGTTAGCTGTTTTTGGCGAGTATACTCGTCAGTGTGATCGACGGATATACTCGTCAGTATGATCGACGGATATACTCGTCAGTATGATCGACGGATATACTCGTCAGTATGATCGACGAGTATACTCGTCATGAAGAAATGGCAACATTCTGCGTTACGACGAGTATACTCGTCGCGCGTAAAAAGTAATCGCAATTTGCCGTTTAAATTGCAATTTAGTAACGGCAGTAAATTGCAGTAATAAAATTGAAAAACAAAAGAGTCATTCGGTTACGACTTAATTCCATATTATAACAGTCACACATACTCTGTGTTCGACGAGTATACTCGCCACGAGTATTTTTGCCACGCATCTTAGATACGCGCAACAACCAACTGGATAAAACATAGAGGCGCGTTCGATGACGACGTTTTATTCAATAAACGCACGAAGGAGAAGGTAACGCGTTAAGGGAAATGGGAAAAATACTTTTCCCAAAGATCAACATTTTGGTCATCGTCACTTTCCATATTATTATTATTGTACGAGCACGTATTAGAAGTTTCCTGATTAGCGGCGAAGAGGTCACTTTCGTCGTTCGAAGTATCGTTTACGTCCGATCTGACCGGTTTGTATCAGTCGCGTCGACGTACGTTCTTTCCTTTGATAATTCTGCGTAACAAGCCATACGAGTTTCTAAATCCCCTTGAAATCGCGTTAAACGTTCGAGATTGGTATCGTTTACGGTGGAACGATGAAACGCGTGAAAAAAGAAAAACAAGCGGGACGTGTAAGAGTTAATAACATAATCAATAACATAAGAGTTAAAAAGAACGTGTAGAAGTGAATAAACCGTTTAAAATAAAAAGGCTGTGTTAAAGTGAATCGCGTAGAGGAAGAAAGGTGCCGCGTAAAAAGAGTCCCACAGGTGTACGTAATATGGTGGATTGACGCTGAGCGGCAGTTCAGGTGATAGAAGCTCGGCTAATGTTCAGGTAATCAGCCGCCGCTAAAATTTCGTTCGTGTAAACCGACTTCCATTATGTATTTTCGAACGTATCGAATGTTAGATAGGGTGAACGAATAATACGTCAAACGGGGTTCTAGATAGATGGAGCAGATAGATGTTCGGAATTAATGGGACGCTATCGTGTTTCTAGGAATAGATAATATTTGAAATTACATAGTTAGCACTTCGACGAATTCTGTACTTTGATATACCAGCCGTAAGATTTCGAATAATGTATTTATGTTTCGTACGATATATACATTGATCTCGGAAGACGATAGTAGCGAATATTAACCTAACCTAACCTTACCAGGCTTCGAACTTTCATTCGAAATTTTATTGTACTTTCGTTGTCGCTTCTTTCGCTCGTCCAACTTTACGTAAATAATTGAGAAACTGATCAATAGGGTAATAGAAGAATTTACGTAAAGTTAGACGAACGAAAGAAATAAGAACGAAGATACGATTTTAAATTCAATTTTAAAACCGGTCATTTGACCGGGTCTGGTAAGGTTAGTGTTAACTAGACGATTAACCATACTTATATTACTAACTATAACTGTGTATAGCCAATAATTTGGTTAACTGTATTTATTAATTCAATTATACTATTAACTAAATATTACGATCATACCTTCGATATTATACATATTTCTTTGTATCATATTTCGAAGCATCAAACTTGTCACAAATGCAGAAAAATCCGCAGTCCACTAGTTGCCAAGTAAAGCCAACCCCGAGCCAACTAAATCACCCTCTTACTACTCACGCTTTACGATCCCATTTCGAGCAACCATAATCTGTCCATAAAATCCACTGTGCGTCAATATTTGCGAGGAGGCTGGCGGGTGGCCGGTACAATGAACTCGCTGTAAACCGTCGTTGGCCGAGTATTTATGTTAATTAGAAGCGAGGTCGTCCTTAAAGCAGGGTGAAACACGAGCCTCGAGACGCTCGAAGATGCAATTGGTTGCACTGTAGCGCACTTCTCTGCAAAATAGAATTAATTCCAGTGTCTTTCTCTCTCTCTCTCTCGCTCATTCTACGATTCTCTTCGATCTAGCACGCGTGAAGTATTCTCGAAGCGCTAACGAAGCGGAATTAATGGCAGAACTATCGGTTTTCGCAACTTTCGCGTATCCTTTTACCTAGGGGCAGGAGCTAGTAAACCCTTGCAGCCAAGGTAGTAGCTACGAGTCGATGCCTCGTCCTTCTGATAAGATTAATCGAGTTGCGTCGGTTACACGAGTTTCCACCGCACTTTTTACGTGTTCTGGGGATGTTGCACGCGGTGGAGAATCGGCAGGGTGGATTTTTTGTCGATCGAAGACAGCGGAAGGAACGTGTACACGTCGTACGTCTAGTTAATTTTTGCCTGTTGGATATAAAAAGGAGATCGTTGCTTTACATAGATTTCTCATTCCTCTTCTCGTTCGATCTCGATGTACGCTGGAGGAGGAAGAAATACAGAGATATCCATTAAATGACAGATTGTAAATTATAAATTATTGTTCTTAAATAGGAAATTGTTTAGGTATCTTCGTCGTCCCATAAGTTCGTTCCGTCTCTGTAGCGCCCTACTTGCAGCAAAATTTGAAACGTATCTTGTTAAATGTTAAGGAGGTACGTAATCTCTGGTTCGCAACCTCTTGCCACCATCTTCCACAAAGACGTTACGCCGTCGCTGTGAAACTCGACACGTGAAAAACTATCAAGAACCCAGGCGTTTGCACGGCGTGAGTCGGTTTTTCTAGCGGACGTCGATCGCGTCTAAAAGACCGGTGCAACGCCAGCGAACGTTGAAGCTGTTCCGGGAACTGACGGAGCACGGTAACAGTCGGCGAAATTTGCTCTAAACTCGATACGTTACTTCGTGGAAGTATGGCTTTTCCTCCGTGGGAGAGAGAGCCAGAGTTCCACAAAATCGCGACCATTTAAAGAGACGTTAGGAGGACGACGTTTCAACAGCGACGAACAAGTGGAACAACTCGCGTGCAATTAGCTTCCGACCTGACCCTCCGCTTTCACCGAAGCTGCGACGTAAACATTGTGGCAACCCGATGGCGAGGCAACAACAACCGAATTCTACCTTTCTGAAACGTCTTATCGAAATACAAAGTTACGAACCAAAGAAGTTCTACGTCATTTGATCCTCGTACTACGTGTAACACAACGTCTCCTTGTTGATACGGTAGAACCTCGTTTGTACAAAAAATTCAGACCCAACCTCACACATACGAACTCCTAAGCGAGCCTCTATTACCTAACACGAGGATCACCGATGTATCTTGTTCTTACGTATATATATATATATTGCATTTCACGAAGTCCTGCGTGTGGCTGAGGAGAAGCACCAACGAGCACACTCTGTGGCGTAAACAAAGCGTGAACCGCGAGTTTTTTTCTCACCTCATATCTGCAGCGTTTATATATTTGTATTCGCATATATATATATACATACACATTCAAATTTATCGCACGACATATCGTCGAGTAAACCGATACGTGCCGTTTCCATAGTTACCATCACGAAACCAAAGATCGTGTAATCGTGAAAACGAATTAGACAAACTCGGTCATCCGAACGGCAGTCTCTCGTATCCGAACTTATAATATAACGGGTGGGGATAGCCGGTGAGCCTCTCTTATCCGAACTTTCGGATAAACAAGTTTCTACCTGTTGTAGTTGGCTGTTCTCGCGTCAGTCTCACAGTATTTCAGTCGAGTTTCTC